AGCCTATATTCAATTTTTAACTACTTGGATTTTGGTGTTTCTGAGCTCCTCTGGGCCAGCAGTTGGTGAATGGGACTCTGTACAATAGATAGTGCTCTGTTTTTGAAAAGGAAAGGTCCCTTTCAGTTTTGTGTGGAAAGGTGTCCAAATCTTTGCTTTAGAAAAATTTCAGTGTGTACACTTCACTGTGTTGTACTTCATATTTAGTAATTAGGAACATGAATGAAACTATAAATTTGTGTGTGTGGTGTGTGGTGTGTATGTGTTTAAATAAAAAAGTAATAGAGTTTCTCTGGAAGAATACCCGAGAAACTGGTAACACTGGTTGTCTGTAAAGAGAATATGGGTGGTTGGTGGATAGGGATGGGAGGGAGAGTGTATTCTCTCTTTGACCTTTTGAATTTAGTGACATATACATATATTACCTATTCAAAAAAGCCATGTAATTAAATTAAATGTTTTTCATGCATCTGGTAAAAATTCAAACAAAGAATTGTTTTTAGCAATACAAGAAATATGCAGTGAAAACTCTTCCACTTACCTTGGACATCCAAAAGCTTCTCCGAAGAAACAAGCACTGTTAAGTTCCCTCAGTAAACTTCCAGAAATTTCTATGCATTTCAAGACTATATGTTTTTATACCCTTTTCTAACATACAAATGAGAATTACTATACCCACTTAACCTTACTATTTTTACTTAGCAGTTGGGAACATATACATCTTCCTAATTCTTTTGATGCTACATAGTATCCATTGTACTGTAAGTTTTTAGCCAGATCCCTAATAAAGGACATGTAGATAGTTTCCAGCTTTTGCTGTTATAAATGACACTGTGGTGAATATCTCATACATGCATTTTCTGCAAATGTATAAGTATAGTTGAGGAATAAATTCTGGAAGTAGGATTGCCGAATCAAAGAGTAAATACATTTAAAATTTGTTCTTGCCAGATTGCCTCCAAATCGATGGCACTCTCAACAACAATATATAAGTGCCTGCTTTCCCATCACCAACACTTCGTGTTGTAAAATTTTATTTATCTTTGTTAGTGTGATAGGCAAAAGGGATCTTGTTTTAATTTGCAGCAAGTAGTAGAGCCAAGATTTGAAGCCAGGCTCTTAGCTGACCTGGTGCTCTTACTACAAAGCTGGAATTAATATTTTTAACTACTACACTGTACTCAAATTAGTAAATAAGATTGAGCATCTTTGCATATTTTATATGGCATTTGCATTTCTTGTTTATGTGCCCTTTTTCCATATTTCTATTATGGGTTTACTATCTTTTTTGTGTGTGTGTGAGGAAGATTGGCCCTGAGCTAACATCTGCCAATCCTCCTCTTTTTGCTGAGGAAGACTGTCCGTGGGCTAACATCCATGCCCATCTTCCTCCACTTTATATGGGACGCTGCCACAGCATGGCTTGACAAGCGGTGTATCGGTACGCGCCTGGGATCCGAACCGGCGAACCCCAGGCTGCTGCAACGGAGTGCGTGCACTTAGCCGCTTGCGCCACCGGGCCGGCCCTATCATTTTTTAAATGTATTGTGACTGGCAAGCATTATAGAAATAATTCAGCCAAGAAACATCAAGAGATGCTAAAACTAGTGGGTGAAAAGGTGAATGCAGAACAGGATATTTACAGAGGTTTTAGGTACTTCCCCTCAAGAATACTGATTGAAATAGAAAAAGCACTGATTGAATACAAAAGGGAAAAATGGAGCTTCAGAGTGGAGAAACCTAGCAGATACCAACTCAGTCATTTGATCAAGGTTAACTTCACTAGTAATGGGACAAATCAAAATTTGGACCACAGAATAAGATGCAATGAGAGGAACACAGGATCTCTTCTGTGATTTTCTGCCAAAGATGCAAACTCTGAATCTAATCACGAGGAAACATCAGAAAAATTGAGGAACGTTCTAAAACGCCTCTGGCCTATAATCTTCAGAATGTCAAGGGCATGAAAGAGAAGAAAAGTAAGTGTGAAATTATTTCAAAAGAAAAAGAAAAAATATTTGTTTTATAACTTTTGGGACCAATTCATTTTTTCAAACCAATATCAAAATCCACTAAGGTAAATCAGCAAATAGTTTTTGGAAGTATATTTTTCACAAAAAGTTAGTTACAGTTGATTCCTGAATTTATTATCTTCAAATCCAATTCAGTTTTCAATCCATTGTATACAGGCATACTTCATTTTATTGCATTTCGCTTTACTGCGCTTCGCAGATACTGCATCTTGCAGATATTACGTTTTTTACAAGACCCTCCACCGGCAAAAAGATTATGACTTGCTGAAGGCTGAGATGATGATTAGCATGTTTTAGCAATAAAGTATTTTTATTTTTATTTTGTTTTATTTTTTGGTGAGGAAGATCAGCCCTGAGCTAACATCCGATGCCAATCCTCCTCTTTTTGCTGAGGAAGATTGGCCCTGGGCTAACATTCGTGCCCGTCTTCCTCCACTTTATATGGGACGCGCCACAGCATGGCTTGACAAGCGGTGCATCAGTGCACAGCCGGGATCCGAACCTGCGAACTCCGGGCCGCCAAAGTGGAGCACGTGCACTTAAACACTGCGCCACCGTCCTGGCCCCATCAGTAAAGTATTTTTAAATTAAGGTATGTACATTGTTTTTTTAGACATAATGCTGTTGCACACTTAATAGACTACAGTGTAGAATAAAGATGTATGCACTCGGAAACCAAAAAATCCATGTGACTTGCTTTATTGCAATATTAGCTTTATTTTGGCGGTCTGGAACCAAACCCACAATATCTCCGAGGTATGCCTGTACAGTCTTTCCTCATTATTCACAGATTTCATATTTGGAATTCAACTCCTTATGAAAACTTATTTGTAATCGCCAAATCAATACAGTCTTGTGTCACTTGATGATGGGGACACATTCTGAGAAATGTGTCATTAGGTAATTTCATCATTGTGCAAACATCATAAGAGTATACTTATGCAAACTTGCACTCCTAGGCTATACGGTACTAATCTTATGGGACCACCATCATATATGCAGTTCATCGTTGACCGAAATGTTATGTGGCACATGACTGTACTCAAAACATTTTTATGGTCCTTCATAGATATACACAAAGCAGCGGAAAACTTGAGTCACCAGATGTACGTTTTTAACCGAGGTCTAAAAAGGTGCTCTGCCTTCTTGTTTCATCTCTTATACTGTAAGCAAGTGTCCTTTTTGCAATTTTAGTGCCTCATTTTTCACATTTTTGTGCTTTTTTTTGGTGATTTCACAGTTTAAAATGGCCCCCAAGTGTAGTGGTGAAGTACTGTGTAGTATTCCTAAGCACACGAAGGCTGTGATGTGCCTTATGAAGAAGGAAAACGTGTGCTAGATTAGCTTCCTTAGGGGATGAGATATAGTGCTATTGGCCATGAGTGCAATGTTAATAAATTGATAATATGTATTTTAAAAGTTGTCTTTAAATAGAAACACAAGTAAAACAAGATTATATATTGATCAGTTGACAAAAATGTTGTGGCCAGAGGCTCACAGGAACCTAACCCTGTACTTCCCCCAGGAGCAATGGTTCAGTGTTTAGTAATTCAGTGTTTAGAGCAACTTTCTAGAATATGACTACCATAAATAACAGAGTCAACTATATTTCTGACATAAACACCAACTTCCACTTCAGGGAGGTACACGGTTCCCCTCAAATTCCAGATGATCAGTATCTATTCTTCAAGGTCTTCCAAATTTTTAGAAATAGGTAGATCATTATTATTTAGTGAGATTCTTAATTGACTGATGCCTATCTGTTATTTGAATATTAATTTTTACCAGTCAGAGCCTGGAACATATATTAAAATAGATTTCAAAATTCAGCCTTAAAAAATAAACTCTTTGATCTGTGCTCTGGCCAGAATTGGGGAACCAGCAATGCTGCACTGAGGCAGCTCAGAAGTAGCTCAGAAGAGCCAAGGGAGTGGGGAAGATGGTGTCAGGGGTGGGCCATGGTGCCCATATGCAGTGAGCTTGTGCCCAGAAAGAGCATTATCAAATTTCCTGCACGTCCAGTGTTCAGATTTGTTTGATACAGAACACAATTTATTAGGAAACATTAAAACTGTTGCCAAGATTGCTAATAAGAATTTTAGCTTAAAATAGGCTTGCCAGATAAAATACTCAGATTAAGTATTGCATGGAATGTACTTATACTAAAAAATGATTTTTCACTTATCTGAAATTCAAATTAAGTGGTATCCTACATTTTTATTTGTTATATCTGGCAACCCTAGCCTTACTTTTTTGCAAGTAAGTGTTTTAAAGGCACAAGAAGTGTAAATATCAATAGGCAAAAAGCTTGGTAAAAACAAATCCATAAAAAAAAGTCTGAAAGGATTCTGGATGACAGTCCATCAACGTATACAAAAATCTGTTTTTTAAAAGGATTTTTAAACCAACTTTCCCCAAAGGGAGACTATTGTTCATTGCTGATATATATCAGTACTACAGAATGGAACTGCTTTTGATACTGCTATTGAAAGTAGTTTAAAGAAAAAGAAAATGCCAAGTGTTTAAGTTTTACAGTTGGAATGAAGCACTCTTTACTAGGAGTAAAAGAGAAAAAGCTCACCTAGAGATGGAAGATAGCCTGGTGCCAAAATTCCATCAAACTCAAAACTTATTTTTGAAGTGGAGTTCGAGGCTATGGCTTGAAATAACAGTGCTGTGAATCAACAACAACGTAAACCTGTGGCCTTGAAGAAACGTGTAACTTATTACAGCTCTTCATTCTTATGGATAATTCTTCAAGGAGTTAAGTTAAATAGCTTGCTTGCTTACTTGCTCCTCACCTTTTGAGAAATGTGACCCTTTACAAATCTCTGAAGTCTAAAATATTTTATTATAGCTATGTAAAATATTGGTTAAAGAAAACTGATTTTTCTTTTACCTCATGTCACTAAAAAACTCAATACTTATTTTTTTAAGATAAGTTGTTTGACATGTACTTTATTACAGGCCGTGAGATCACTCAAGGAGACAATCGAAGACTGTTGGGACCAGGATGCAGAAGCTCGGCTTACTGCACAGTGTGCTGAGGAGAGGATGGCTGAGCTAATGATGATATGGGAAAGAAACAAATCTGTGAGCCCCACAGTCAATCCAATGTCTACTGCTATGCAGAATGAGCGGTAAGGGTTTGGCATCCATCAGTCAGAATTGAATATTGAGACCAAACAGAGAATAGGAAATAAATACTACTAAACCAATCTAATAGTGCAATGATTAACTCATACAATCTAAGGTTGTAATTTTTCTTTCAATATTCCTGTTCTTCTACTGAAGATTTTTGTTTGGTATAAGTACAAGGTGGAATCTGTGTTGTCTTATATCTAAAGATATAGTAGAAGAGATTAGTCTTTCTTCATTAATGTTCCAACTTCCCTACAATAATAAAGGTAAACTAAAAAACATTTTCATAGTCCCAAAAGTTTATAAGCACCTCTACATATATTGTCTCATTTATCTTTTGTTTTTGTTCCTCCTTCCCCTGCTTTTGTGTTTGTTTGTTTTAAAGGAAATGGAACTATGACCTTGCCTGTGTATCTAACCACTATTTCCCTGGAGACTAAAGTTTCCAGGCTTCCTACTCAATGCTCTTCCTTATAGACTCTGCTACTCCTACCTTTACATGAAAGCAATTCGTAAGGTCTTTCCATCCCATCATGAACATTATTTTATGAAGCATTTCTGTTAGAACGGTGATTTTTGGTTCTAAATAAAAGGGCTTTTTAAAAATATTCCCAAAACTTGGAACTTTCAGACTGTGTCATCTGTGTTTCTTCCATATTTGGGGGGAAAAGTCTTCCCACAAATTTGTCATTTTAGCTAATACATGTTAAAATTTTTCAGAAAAGCATCCAGGAAAGAGTTACCAGAGAAAATTGAGATAAAGATACACTTGATCCTTGAATCATTTTCTTTGCTGTTATCAATTGTTCTAGTTTCATAGAGCAATTTGTATTATGAACTATAGGCCCAAAATTGGGTTCCACTACTTATGTTTGGGTTGAATTAGCTTCAGCATATAAACCCTTATCCTTTATACGTGAAAAAGTCAAGGAAGGTAGAGACGAAGAATTCTAAATATAAATTTTCTCACTTTATACGTATCTGAGGATAGTCTTCTGCTTCCACCTCCCCTTATCTCGTATTTTCTATGTGCTCTAGTATGCCATTTGTACCTCTCTCAAGAGTCAGCTACTTTTACTTTAAGTGCTTTTAGACTTTTCTTGACTGGTAAGAAGAAACCCTTGATGCTCCACCTTGCTTTGGCCATTTTTTGCCTTCTTGGTCATTCAGCTCTACTTCTTACATGCTTCTTCTCATTTCCAGTCATTGCTAAATAGTTTCCCCTAAATCATAGTTCCTCCCATAGTCATTCCACTCTAGGTTTCATTGTATTGAGTCTTACCCTCCATACCTACTTAACTTCCTTTTCTTGTGCAGTACAAGAGCTTTTTTCTTTTTCCCCTTCCTGACCTTCCCCTCATAACTTCATCAGTCTTTCTTCATAGCACTTCTCCTTTAGCTGCTGCTTTTCTCCTGTACCACTTGTGTCTACTAATGTTCCCAATGTTTATACTTTGATTGTTTTAGTTAAAGCTACCTCTGGCTTTTATTTTAAATAACATGAATATATTACCATATGGTGCTCTGGAACTCGCACTGTCTAGGTGTGACAGTGACTGTGAAGAACCCTGATAACTGGAGAGCAGTTCTGAATCTTTGGTCCTTTATCTGAGTGGCCCATTCTGCCTTATACTCTAGGGTCTAGGGCTTTCATTGATATGGCTCAGTCTACCCCAGGAAGATATGATCCATTGCTAGACTATGCCTTTTAATTGAAGTATTTTGGAACGACCTAAAAGCTTATGTTCTTTTTACCATTTGGACATTGCAACTTAATTGGTAACATATTTAAGTAGCCACTATATATCTAGAATTATGGGAGTATAAAAGAAACATATACCATGGTTCCTCCTCTCATGAAACTCATGTCTGGTTATACAAGTATAAAATTCATGAAGATATATTTGGTAATGTTACAAAACTATAGGAGAGATTTTTAAATTAACTCATGTAAACAAAAATAATGAACATCTATAAAAATCATATCTAGATCCACATAGGTTTTTCAGTAGGCTTAAATCATATAAAACCAGCATTTAACAAGTTGTTGATTGACACTTGATTATTTGATTAGAATTTTTAAATAACTTCTAGAATAATGTGGGTTAGGAATAAAATAAAAAACGGTTCATACTTGAAAATCAGAGGTGTTCAACTTCGAGAGTCTGTGTCATAAATATACATTCTCAATGTGGCACTTTTTTTCTTTCTTCAAGCAACCTCTCACACAATAGGCGTGTGCCAAAGATTGGCCCTTATCCAGATTATTCTTCTTCTTCATACATTGAAGACTCTATCCATCACACTGATAGCATTGTGAAGAATATTTCCTCCGAGCATTCGATGTCCAGCACACCTTTGACTATAGGGGAAAAGAACCGAAACTCAATTAACTATGAACGGCAGCAAGCACAAGCTCGAATCCCCAGCCCCGAAACAAGCGTCACCAGCCTGTCCACCAACACAACAGCCACAAACACCACTGGCCTCACTCCAAGTACTGGCATGACCACTATATCTGAGATGCCATACCCAGATGAAACAAATCTGCATGCCACAAATGTTTCACAACCAATTGGGCCAACTCCTGTCTGCTTACAACTGACAGAAGAAGACTTGGAGACCAACAAGCTGGACCCAAAAGAAGTTGATAAGAACCTCAAGGAAAGTTCTGATGAGAATCTCATGGAGCATTCTCTTAAACAGTTTAGTGGGCCAGACCCACTGAGCAGTACCAGTTCTAGCTTGCTTTACCCACTCATAAAGCTTGCAGTAGAAGTGACTGGACAGCAGGACTTCACACAGGCTGCAAATGGCCAAGCATGTTTAATTCCTGATGTCCCGCCTGCTCAGATCTATCCTCTCCCCAAGCAACAGAACCTTCCTAAGAGACCTACTAGTTTGCCTTTAAACACCAAAAATTCAACAAAGGAGCCCCGGCTGAAATTTGGCAGCAAGCACAAATCAAACTTGAAACAAGTAGAAACTGGAGTTGCCAAGATGAATACAATCAATGCTGCAGAACCTCATGTGGTGACGGTCACCATGAATGGTGTGGCAGGTAGAAATCACAGCATTAACTCCCATGTTGCCACTACCCAGTATGCCAATGGGGCAGTACCTGGCCAGACAGCCAACACAGTGGCACATAGGGCCCAAGAAATGCTGCAGAATCAATTCATTGGTGAGGATACCCGACTGAATATTAATTCCAGTCCTGATGAGCATGAACCTTTACTGAGACGAGAGCAACAGGCTGGCCATGATGAAGGTGTTTTGGATCGCCTCGTGGACAGGAGGGAACGGCCACTGGAAGGTGGCCGAACTAATTCCAATAACAACAACAGTAATCCATGTTCAGAGCAAGATGCTCTTACACAGTGTGTTCCAAGCACAGTAGCAGATCCTGGACCATCAAAGCCCAGAAGAGCACAGAGGCCTAATTCTCTGGATCTTTCAGCCACAAATGTCCTTGATGGCAGCAGTTTGCAGTGTAAGTGCAGGGATCATGTAATCTCTCCTGCTTGTCTTTTGGGACCATTTATAGAATCAGATTGTGTTTAAACTAGCAATTATTTATTTTTACCAGTTTTGGAAACAAAGTACACCTTTTGGTTGGACCTCAAAAGTAATTAGACTCTTGTTGAAAAAAAGTAATTTTTTTTTGTTTTTTTGGTTGATAATTAAAAAGATAATGTCACAATAGTCAGAATAATTACCAGTTTAATATTTGCGTTATGTAGCTACTGGTTTATAATGCAACTCACATACTTGGCTGTGAATGGCTGAGATTAAATAAATACTCACCATTTTAAAAGCTCCAAGTAAAATGATGCCAGTATAACTTTTGAAATAGTTTTTTAAGCATACTAATATCTATGATATACACATTTAGATTTTATCAGACTAACCTTAATAAATCTTAAAAGTCCAGAGGAAATTTCAGAAAAGTCACTATAAAGAAACTATAAAGTTGTTCTTGGTTTTTTAGTGTCGTCTTTTTCAAGAGTTATGTGTTGAGTCTCCCACATTCCTGTGCTATGGGTGCTAGCAACTTAAACAAATGATACTTGGTTTCTGGCCCTAAATGGATTATAACAAAAGACAAGATAGCTCACCAAAGTCTTTAACAGTCATTATTATACACAATGATTTCTCTTTTAGATTATTATATTACAGCACTTACGAAAGAAAACAAAGTCATGTTTTGGGGTTGTTGTCAAGGACTACAAAATGGGCTGAAGGAATTCAGCTCTCAAAAGTCAATCGGTAGGGCCGGCCCCGTGGCTTAGCGGTTAAGTGCGTGCGCTCTGCTGCTGGCGGCCCGGGTTCGATCCCGGGCACGCACTGACGCACTGCTTCTCTG